TGGTAATATATGTATAAATAAATACAAATTATATTAATGTATGCATGTATAAATAATAAAAATAAACCATCCGAAATTGAATTTACCTAGAAAATTCTGAAAATGTATATTGTAAATCATATTATTTTGGCTTTTAATAACCTAAACCTTAATTGAAATTTGGAATTCCTGGAACCCGATAAAGTGTATATCTATTTTTTTTATTAGGGCGACGATTTTGTATGACTCTAATTTCAAAGGTGTAGCAGATATAAGTTTATAACTAATTTACATAAGTTTTCATTATTCTGCTTTTCTAACTACTAAAGCGCAAAGTCACTAGGCTTATTGGTATAAGAAATGGGACGGTAAAGAAAAAGTATAGTAAAAACTAAAGTAAAAGTATAAGCGTGCAGTGTGATCCATGTCACATGGAATGAATTTTGGTCCCATGGGCATATTGGACCAGCTTGTTGATTTGTGATCTCGGTTGGCAGTTCTTATTAAGTCAAAAATGGCTTCGATTTTTCTCAATTAGGACATGTGAGCTGTTTAAGGCCTAAGGCCTTGACTAAAAATGAACAATATTTTTATTCAAATAGATTGCTAAATACTGTGAATGCAGTTTTAAAGTTGAAAACAGAAATACGCCTAAAAGGTAGTCAAAAATCCTATTATGTTCATTAGAAATAATACAGAAATAGATGAACAAAAGCGTGCAAAATTTACTAAGCATAAATGTGGGCTCACGAAACCAATTCAAAATCATAAGCCTTGTATATAATACATATCATATCATAACAATTTTATGAACATTTAGCTCTTTTAAAGGCGGGAGTTGCTTCTGTATATATGTATATAGAACTATAAAAATATAGCAAACACCTCCCTCATATATATTTATATCTTATGTTTGAAGAAGACACAATTCTATTTCTGTCTAATAGTTTTCAAGCCCGCAGCATCTATCTCGCGAAAAATAGACTTTTTGCGGGCGCCATTTAATCTGATTATAAATTTACATAAACGAGGTGAATACCTTCTGAGGTGCCATGAATCAGAGGCTCGCAACTTTCCAAATTTATAAGGTCAACACATTTTACTAAGTTGTATTATAATAGTGTACTCTTCTGCCGTTGATAAATATAATAAAATGATATTTAATAAAAAAAGACCAAATGTCTCTGTTATCTTATTCAAATCGCTTCAAATTGTTATCTTTGGCTTGCGCTTTCTTGCTCTGTGCGTTATATAAGAAATCAAATTTCACAGTCTTCGCCAAGACAATTGAGTTTTGAAGATCGTTTAAGATTTTGTACGAGATTCGTAGGTGCTACAGCATCAGCATCAGCATCAGCAGCAGCAGCGGAAGCATCAACATTACGACGCTATCTAAAATCAATTTGGAGTTACGCCAGCTGCTGCAGCTACCCGCAGAAAAGTTTCACCTTTGGCTTCGATGGTCGGCACACGGCGTAGCTCGAATCTACGCATTTGGCGACTAGCTTGACTGGAAATCGATTCAAGTGGCACCCCATCCCACCTCTCTTATGTCTCCCCCAAACGCTTTGAGGCCGACATCGTTAGCTGCCCACTGCCAAGGGCAGGCAACGAAAGTCGTGCCATTATGATATAACTTTTGGTCCACAACAAGTTACAAAATCTTTCTTTTTTGTTTATGTATATAT